AAAAGTGTCACTACTGCACCAATAAAGTTTGCTGTGTCAATCACCGTTATGGTTATTAGGCCTTAAAGCTGGGGTTGGACCATCGATCGATGTTCTCCCTTAGTAGCTTCCGGTCAGTTATAGCTCAATTGCTCCTAGTCCTATGTTAGAAGTTTGTCCTCTCTTCAGCAATAGGGTCTTATTTTCAAGTGCTGGGAGGCAATCAAGGGCTGTGGCAATAGCCTGTATAATTTTGGGAGTCTCTTGGACTACCCTGTACAACAACTTGGAGGTTTATCCTGTCTGGTAGTTTCTTGTTACACAGCCTTCAGCTGTATACACGGACTCATGTAGAGATACTGTATGTGTGAGAGTTGGGACTTGGCCTGTGTGCATCTGGAAATGCAGCACAAGACTGCACTTGATGCAGGAGCAATGACAACAATGCCAACATTAATACTAGAGAACACTTGTTGGTTAGGTATAAATGTAAGCCATTTGTGAAGGTTACTCCTCTGATTGATCTGGAATCAACTAGGAGACACACCTCTGGGTGTGTCTGTGAGGGTGTTTACTGGAAGGGTTAACTGAGGAGGGAAGACCCACCCTTGGTGGGCAGCACCTTGCAGTGGCAGCCAAGATATGAAGAAGGCCAAGGGAAAAGTGCTGCCGCTGCTTCCTCGATCTGAGGTGAGCAGGTCTCCCTGCTGCCACTGCTGCCACCCTTTGCTGAGTCAGAACCCAGCTTCTGGGCCTTCCAGTGTAGATGTAGCAGCCCTCCAGGCCTTCAGCTCCAGATTGGGACTGCTGACTCATCTGGCCTCACAGCCAGCCAGTTACTGGGTTCTCAGCCTCTCCAGAGTCCCGTCACTGTTGGACCAGCCAACCTGTATTGTATGAGCCAATCTAATGAATCCCGGTTGCACTATTAATTTGTTCTATTGGTCTGGTCCTCTAGAGAACCCTCATGTACCACTCTCACACACAATTAATACTTAGAAGTTAGAACTGATATTACACACACACACACACACACACACACACAGCTACACATAAACTTATTTGACAATTATATGAGCTAAGTATTAGTTTAGAGATGAGTAAATTGAGGCAAAGAGATGATAAGTAATTGCCCAAAGTCACTTATTTATGGGCAGATCTGAGATTCATACTGAAGCAATATAACTCTTGTCAACAAAGAATTAGTGATATCCAGAATGAAGAAATAACTCCTAAAAACCAGTGAAAAAATAGGCAAAGAAATCTGAAAGGTTTGTAAATGTGTAAACAGTGCACAATGCTGTTAACAATTGTGAAAATACAAATTTAAGTACAATTGTTTCATAAAGAAAATGGTGTTCTGAAACCAAGTGCTGAGAATCTGAGAAATGGCAGCTTATGAAGGACCCTGGAGCCTCCATTCTGGGGAACAGGTGGATAAGAATCTGGCAAAGCTGAAAAGAAACTTTTGCAACTGAGTAGTTCCACTGGGATGCAATCTAGGGAGACTGGTGCGTGCATGTTTAATGGCACACTTCAGAGCCTGGTTCACATATTAGTGGTAAGACAATGGATCACAAGCTGAGGTGTATTCATGCAAAAGGCTCTATTCTGTAGGTGAAAGTAGATGAATTATATATTAGTAAACCATTAGGGAAGTCTAGAAAAGATAGGATTGAGTGAAAAAAACTATAGACATTTGTTAGGTAATATAGATACTATATAGTGCATACAGACAGACACATGCATAATACAAATGTAAAGATGTGGGAGGGATTCACACAAGCTACAGGTTAAAGGGGGAACAGAGATGAAGTATACTGGGAATAGGAAAGGGCATAAAGGGCTTTGGAGCCCAGTGAGATGGCTCAGTGGGTGAGGGCGCTGGCCACGTAAACCTAAGTTTGTGCCCTGGAACCCTCCTAAAAGTGGAAGGAGAAAAATGATTCTACTCTGACCTCCACATGTGCACTATGGCAATGTAAGGCCCCCCATCATGTGTACCCCCCAAAATAATAAATTTAAAAGCAAACATAAAAGGAGTTTCAATTTCACCTATAATCTTTTATTTAAAAAAATGCCTGGCAAAATTTAACATTTGCTAGACATGAGTGTAGAGACATGCTGTTTCAGTATTGTTACTCGCTGAAGATCTCTATTTTTAAAACATTTCATTAAAGTTTTGAATTTTAAAATACCTTGCATGTACATCTCTGTAAAGCAGTGTTGGAAACCCTGTCTCGTATATCAATAAAAATTCTTTAGCCTTGTGTCTAGATTTATATTCTCCTGATACAATTTTCATGCTTCAAAAGTACCTTGTGCTCTTTAATCTCTGGCTGAATGTGACATGAGACAGACCGCTTCAGAAGCAGGGGTTTAAGATGTTACCACATTAGCACCATTTGCCTTGCACCTTTATACCAGTCACTGTACACAAGGTATTGTGCATTTCACACATGAACTCAACATCCCCTAAAAACCTTAGGTAGCTTGGTTATTTCCATTTTTATTTCTATTTTGGAATCGAGGCATAGGAAAGTTAGGTTGGCCAAGGAACCATAGCTAGTAAACGATAAAATTCAGGCAGTCTACCCGTGAAGTCAAACACTGGAGTTTTGAGGATGGAGAGCCAGTTGGGTTAACTGATCTGTGTCCTCCTAAAATGAAAAAAAGAAAGAAAGAAAAAAAAACCCTCACCTTAAGTCTTTCTTACAAAGTCACTATTTCTGGAAGATCTGGGGTTCAAACTGTAGCAACATAACTATTAATAAAAAGATTAGACAATACACAAGAGGGGCTAGGGAGATAGCTCAGTAGCTGAAGTACTTACTGTGTGAACATTAGGACCTGAGTTCAGATCCCTAGTACCCACATAAAAGCTGGGATTGCCAGAGCCTCTGTCACCCCCAGAACTGGGAGACAGGTGGATCCCAGGGACTCACTGGTCAGCCAGGCTCCCTGAAATGGTGAGTTCCAGGTTCAGTGGGAGTCCCCATCTCAAAAATTAAGGTGGAGAGCAACAGAGGAAGGCATCTGATATGGACCTCTGGCCTCCACATGTGCATCCACTTGCACACACATCCATAGTCCTCCCTCCATAGTAAATAATTCCTGAAGGTTCTTTATAAGGAATAAAATTCCTAAATGTTAGAAATAGATCCATTTGCTTATGGATTACCCCATGCTCTCTTCTCTCTCTTCCTTAAGCTTAGGCAATGTGGGCAAGAGAGGAAAATGCCAAAGGAGTGGTTCTAAGGAGGAATACTGAAGATATAAGCTGTCTATTTGCTGCCAATAAGTAGTCCTCAGGACTCTGCTTCTGCACGAGCTTCAGTGCTTCTACATATTCATCTGGTGGAACACCCTGTCTGTGTGATCATCCAGACAGCGGACATACACTGTTTTATATTAAAAATATGAAAAGAAACTGGTTATACTGAGTGTCAACAACACAACTTTTAGCAATTTTCTTTATCACTAATAGTGTAATATTTTTTACTAATCTCAATGTAGTATAAATAATACTCTGTATTTATATTTTAAATCTATGGTTTTAATTGATTGTTCAATGTTCAAAAATTGAACTAAAGCCTGACTGACCGTGTAACTTTAATATTTGAAAATTTTCATACAGAAATCAACTTAACACAATACAGATTTGTACAAAAGGACTGATTAAAAACTTCCATTATGCAGAAAAAAAATTAATGAAAAGTTAAAAAAAAAGACAAGACATTTTATAAATACTAATAAATACTGTGCAATGTTTAATTTACTATGGCAGATACAAAAAACAGGAATTCGTTAACAGATTGTATATTTAAAAAGCTACAGGAATTTTCTAATTTTAAATTAACAAAATGTAACAGTAGTGGTTTTTACTTTTTAAATGAGGTATTATTACACTGTAAACCAAAACAGAGCATAAATAATGTGCAATTAAGTAATAAATGATTATAAATTTCAACTTAATAAATGACAACAAAAATTCCCATTATTTATGGACTTTGTCACTTAAAATTTGGCTTGCTTGTATACTTACTAAAAGTGACATAGCTATCGAATACGAACACATCGTTAAACATGCAGACCAAGCGAACACTATTTTTCCATGAATCATCTCTACCAAATAAAAACTTTGTTTACATTTTACTTAAAACACTAAGTCTGGTTTTGTATACATGATTCTTTGTGCTTATGAGTTAGAAGTAACCTACATTAGACATCTTACTTTCTAGTTCAAGCAGTGTAAGAGGGAAGCAGTTTTATTTGCATATGGACTAAAAACAGTAAACCAAATATGCCTTTAACTGTCTTAGGCTTTCCAAGATTGTAAAGAAGATCCTTTTAGTACATACTCGAATGGAAAAGTAGTCATTTACAGTCTCAAGCAGAAAAGTAAGTGAAGTTGACTCCTTTCCTCGAAGATTTGTGGGCTAGCTTCTGAGCCTTGGAGAACAAGCTGATGAGCCCCTTCACCCTTGAATTCTGCTGGTTGGGCGCAGGAAGCACAGCAACAAGGACGTGATCTGGGCAGAGCTATGTGCATATGAATCATATGCTGGTACTAAATGCTGGTTTTATTATTATTGCAAACGTAACTTCAGAGTTTTCTGAAGAAAAGCTATCAAAAGATAAGAGAAGTCTTGAGACCGAAATGTTTGTAACATGCTAATAAAACTGCTTCAGTTGCTATAAATTAAAAAAAACCCTGTGACTTAAAAATGCAGTTTTTTACATGCTACTTATTAGAAATGGAAAACAAGGGTACTTCTGAATTTGCTATATTTAGAATCCAGTGAAAAACAAACATTTAGCCAAAATGTTGAACTTTCTTTCTACACCAAGCTCCATCATCTTGACACAAAATGTTATTATTGTATTTCACTTTTGTCAAATATCTTATCCTACCTTTTCAAAAAGTTAGTGTTTCAGTATAACTGGCGATCAAAAAATGTAGATATGAGTGTTGTATATCAATCAAAATATATAAAAAGCAGTCATTTTTGTGCTTGTAATCGATTTAATTAATCAATGACTAGTTAGATCTAACTTGTTCTCAGTGTGACCTTTAAGAAATGATCATTATACAATATTACAGAGTAACTGGTTTACCTCCACTGTGCATGCAGACTAACAATACCTAAAAGAATAGAACCTTGGATCCAATAGTCTGAAAATACTCTTGTACAATCATCTTTATTGATTTGTAAAAGCTGTATACACATCTAAAACCCCAAATTTACTTTGTAAAAATAAATCTTTTGCAATAAATGGCACTATCAAAATCCCATTATTCTTAGGCTATTATGTACTTATTTACATGCTTTTCAGCAACAGTTGAAAAGATCTTATAGGACCCCCAAACCAGTATATCAAAAGACCCTGTAAACTGCATTTGCAATTATACTGTTGTTTACCTTTGTACGAAAATATGGCTACATGCCTTATGTTAAAGATAATGTAGCTGTCTGCTTTGCTACAGTGTGCTGGCAGCACGTCTGCCACTGGGTTCAACTACATCACAAACCCATTCTTACTGCACTTGGCTTTCCCAGTGGACATCTGTGGGAAACAACTTATGAGAAGTGATAAAGAACTACCCCTGCCATATGCTCTTTTCCTCACTGACGGATTTGTTTGTTTTGTTTTGTTTTTTAAAGAAAATCATGCCTTTACTACACTCATTCTGTATCTGGGTTATAGAAACACCCTTCATCATTTTAAAGTTGGCGAACTTTGTTAAACTGTTTTGAGACAGAAACATGAAAAGGTTAAAGGCACAATAAGAGGGAAGTGAGTGCTACATATAAATATTTCAAGTCTTCGAGGTTACTCAAGTCCAAAGCCTTCTGAATTTGAAATTCCAATGATCAATTTCTGTTTCAGGTCTTTTTTGCTCTTGTATGGAGGAAGGCAAAGTTGATTGAAGCAGGTGTGAGCCACAGGTAACCTAGGAAAAAAATGAGTTAAGAGATACGAGTTTTAAAGCACATACAAAATGACTAAGGAACATTTTAGAAACACCAGACACTTTCAGACCTATGCTGATAATGTTTCACATCTCTTCCTTTGGTGAATGCTAAATGTCACCCACCATTCCAGACGGCAAGGCCATGTTTACAGACAAGACAAGCAATACACCTGCTCTCACAGAACTTTAATTTGAAAAGCAGTTTGTCTGGAGCCAGACATATCTGAATCTAAATACTGTTTTCCTCACCAGTTGTGGGACTTTGAGTTGATTAATGTTTCCTCATCAACGTGACACGGTCAACTATCCAATTACATTAGAAGAACAGGAATAAGGGAGTGTGATGGCAAATACAAGGATATGCAAGGCCTGCCTATGCCTTGAACTAAATGACTATGATCTAAGGTGAAATAGGAAAGCTAGCATATTACTTCTATATTGGAGGAACTCATTGAAAGAATGATGACTTTTGGTCTTACAGGGAAAGTCAACCTTCATGAGAAGGTAGCAAGCACACACCAAGTGCGAAGGGAACAAATTAAAGGTATGGAGGGTGGAAGGCAAAATATATTTTAAGGAGGTAGCAAAACAGCCAGTTGGTTAAAGCATAGAACAAAATGAATTCTAGGACTGAAACTGATGGGGTACAGTAAAGCTACTGTCACCCAGGGAACCATCAGGATCTAAGCAGTGTTACAGAAAATGAATTTTTTCGGATAACACAACTAGAAAGGAAAGAACCTGAGCAGGAAGGAGTCATTTAACTAAACCAGTAAGGAGATAAAATGTAACAGCACCAGGTGGTGGTAACTGGGAAATCAAAGAACAAACTGAAGTTCTAAAACTAGGGACTGTGGCAGGATAGAAGGTATGTTCAGTGTGTAGACCCAAGGGGAAAAATGATAGCCTCAAAGCTGTGTCTACTCAAACTACTTTCCGAAATCACAAGGTATTGTAATAACAGACAGAAGGAAGACCAGCCTGAACCCATAACATGATGAGAAAGTAGCTTAAAGTTACGATCATTACCACTTCATACATGAGGAGCATGAGCTTTAAAAGGTGACTCTCCCAGAAGTGCTTCCGACACCAGTACGACAGTTCTATTCACAGACACACAAGCAAACCAAGAAGCCTCAATTTAATATTTGTCCTAATTATAAAAAACAGTTACACAACAATGAAGGCGAGACAACATGATACTATAAGGTAGGCTAGGCTCTAAAAGAGACCAAGAAGCAAATACTGGACCCAAGCCACGTAAAAAGCTAATGGAAGTAAATTATCATCAGTTAGTACAGGTATGTGTCAAACACTAATTGAGAACTTCAGCCAAAGTCTCTTTCAAGAGCACATGTACTCTGAAGAATTTTACAAGAAAGTGACTTCAGACTGAAAGAATCTTCTAAATCCAAAATTAGCAATAAGTTATGATTAAAAATAAAGCCATAATCCAGAGTTACCAGTTAGTAGAAGTTTCATTCTTTGAAATTTTAAAGTTCAAATCGGCCATCCCTCCCACAGGTACTCTGTCACTTCCTGTAGTAAAATGTAGCAACTTCTTTTGAAGATCAAGAGGGAATCCAAGCACAACATCCCAAAAGTATCTACAGAAGGAAATTTACAAAAAATATCCCGAGAACACTTATGATTATATTAAAGCAATAAAAACAGACTATGAGAAACTTTTCTTAAGCATATATAATACTGAAATATAAAATAACATTTCTATAACTAAGCTTAGTAGTAGTTTAGTAGTAGAAGATAGTGTAGAACCAATTTTTGTCCCTTATGTAATTTCCAAGTCTTGTTCTTCAACACAGAGCTAGTAAAGTGCTATTTATAAACACAGCATCCTTGAAACTCTGGGATCAAAGTTATTTTTTAAAGTAAAACACTGTACTTTGATAGAAAATTATTTATATAAATTTCTCTCAAGGGGACTGCTAAATGCTTTCATATTTTACTATTTTCTTATTTCTAGGGATGAAATAAGACAGGATAGGACTCTAGAATATTTGCTAACTGATCTAATACTATGTTCTATAAGTAAGCAAGTCCATCCTATTTTGCAGTGACTTCTGTAAGCCCACCTCCTCAGGAGCTCACCTTATGGTTGGGTCAGTCTTCGCGTAGCCATCATACTGCGTGCTTCTCTGCAGAGCATGCATGTCCAGCTCAGGACTTCCACAGACCAGAATCTCAACCTCTTCTGGACGAAGCAGCTATCAATAATTGTCAAAATGTCAAAGGTCATAATTAAAAATGATGGCCTTAAAATGAAATATGAACTGTTTTCACCACATCAAATCATACAAATCATCACTTTTCTTAGCAAATCAAATGATTTTTTTTTCTTGAAGGAAATGTTATTTTCCTACTACAGCAAGGTATTTTGTTTCTTATAAAACTGTAATTAGTAGTTTGCCAGAAAACCCAAGAAAATGACTCAGCATGGATCAAATTCGCTTTTCTTCACAAGCAGCACAAAGCTCTACTATTTACTGATCTGCCTGCTTCCTACCAATGTTCACACCTATGCGGCTGTAGAGTCGTGTACGCCTTGCAGCTGTTTGGTGCTGCTCACTTATTTTTGTACCTTTTAGGTGGGTTTTTTGCCACCTAGAGATCAGATCTGAAAAACAAGACAAAGCTATACCATTTCATTTTCATTTTCCCTCTCTTGCCTCCCCTATCAAAGAGACTCATAAAAGTTACAGCTCAACAAAGTACCTCTTTTTCAAAGGCATTTTTCATCAAATATATTATAAAGGTTACTATAAAACAAGCTAGAAAGGGCTACTTGCTCCTGCCCCAAAGTAACCCAAGAGTTCATTTCTTTCTTCAATGAAAAATAATTCAAATGAAAGACTACCCCAGTCTCTCAACAAAGCAGATGGAGATACAAGAGGCATGTTGGCATGTGCCCTGGGTAGCTGGGGTGAAAGGATCCATCATAATATATTATATTTCCATCATGGCATCTGAACTCCAATTCACATGGCTAAGACAGATGAACTCCGAGAGTCTACCATGATTCTGGAGATGAACTACAAACTTCAGGTTGCCGGCAGACAGGGAGCAGGCCTTATACAACATGCTCTTCTCTCAGTGAGAAATTGTGGCTTTTTCCCTGGAGCCAGACATTAACTTTCTGTGCTTTGTCCATTGACTCTACAGCCACCAGAAGTTTTTAAAGCCCTAAAACACATAGTATAAAACATACCAGAAGGGGAAGAAAATTCAAGTCAGTTAAAAAAATATTTCTACAGAAGTAAGGTTGAAATGGGAGAACTAATGTTATTTCTGGATCTATTTTTTTAAAGTAGAAAACATTTTCTGATGTTCAAAGATTATCAGGACATAATATTTAAATATTATCTAGGAAGAATATTTAAGTTATTTGTGTTATACTGTACCACCTAATTGAAAGCTTAAAGGTTTAAACTCACCATTAGGGCATCTGAAGCACACACACTATGAAATCCGTAATAAAATGCAGCAAATTGCTTATAGATAGATTTGTTCAAAAGGAAGTCAGTATAAAGCTGTACATACTCTGGAAAGCAATTTACATCCATTATATAGTAATAGTAACTGGAAAATATTAATTCATTGTAATTAAAAATGGTGTCTGACTTACCTTTTCTATTCTGATTGGTAACTGGAATCTTATCACCCCCTGGTTTTAAATTATAACACTTAATTATTCCAAATTCTTCTTGAAAAACCTGATGGGAGAGACCATAATATTGTGTTTATTGGTACTGTTGATATAGTAACAGGTTTCAGTGAATAAATCTGTAAAAGAATGGTTTTTCTCCTCCTTTTAAGCCACAACTACAGAAAGGTTAAACTTTTGTGACATTTATATTAAGAGGGGGCATTATGAGGTAAAAAAGCAGGTCCTTAATCCTATCTGTCAATACAGTTAAATACTTTATGATGCTCACAGAACTTGTGGCCCCCAGCCAACATGCAGGTCTTTGGAGTTATATGGATCACTGTAATTTCCATCTCTATGATATGAGCAGTAGAAATGTGTGGTTTAGTTAGGCTTCTACTCCTTAACTTCCTTTTCTGAAGCACTAAAGGGGGTATTTCTGGTAGAAAGCAAATTAGTCAAGGGAATATGCAAACAGACCCTTGGTGACTTCATTTCCACATGCTTATTCGCATGCAGTGTCTCTACCATGCTACTAGGTTAAGGTTCTTTGATTCTTTTTAGTTAATGGATCAATTAAGTAAAATTAATTAATAGCTGATCCATTAATTCTTTAAGATAGTATATTATAATGTAGCCCAATGGGCCTCAGACTCCTGATTCTCCTGCCTCAGCCTCCTGAGGGCCAAGATCACAGGTGTGCACCAACCACCACAATCAGCTTAAGATCCCTTCCTTGAGATTATATGTGCTGATTAATCCTTGTTCATCTTTTTTAACAGCAAGTGTTTAATAACAATGGCAGTTTCCTATATGAGATAGATGGCTGACAAACAGTTACATGCCCTTATCAGTACCTGGAATGTTGAATAGAAATCTTCTTCAACATTGCCTTCATATGATAAGAGTTCACTTAATCCATGGGCCAACTCCTGTAAAAATAAATCTATGGTCTGTCTTTTTAAAACAACAAGCATTACTTCAAATTGCCAAGGAGATATACTAAGGTTCGCTTAAAATGTGAGATAAAAGAATAAACTCAGATTTTAAAATAAATACGTGAGATGTACTTTCTAAGACTCAAGATATTTCTTAATACTTTCCACCATTCAGAGACCCGGGAAAATCCATTACCACCAATTCAGGAGGAAATTATCCAGTTCACACAACAGAGGTCTAACTCTAGGGTCCATTCTTAAGCTTAGTGTAGCTCTATTGTGATGTCCAGCATAATTCACTACTCTCTGCCACATTACTATTTATGAATTTTTAGTCTTTATTACTTCGAATTTATTTTCTTAAAAAAATCACTACTCTTTTAGGATGCACCTTTAAACATAAGACACACAGTTGATATGTTTAGTGGCTTATATATTTCAGTTACTGTGTGCTCCTCTCCCAAGAAAGACTTAGCACACTGGAAGAAATGTTTTCTTATAACTTCAGTTATCTATTAAAAAGAACTTAAAAACAGAACTGTCTCAATATTTCAATTTTTTTAAAGTTTCATAAAAATTACTTTAAATTACATACTAAATTATTTAAAAAGATAAGTAATGTCATGGATTAGAATGATCTTCAATACTTTACATAATAAATTTATATTCCATTAAAACCATAAATTTTTATACAAATCTAGTTTGGTACAATTTTGATATGATTATCACCATTTGTTTTTAAATAATAAAAACCATCTCATTGTTCCCATAAGGACACTGGACCCACCAGAATGGTTAAATAACTTATTCAAGTTCACAAAGCCAGTAAGACACAGCCTGGATTCAAATCACTGATCTACAGACTTCAAAGTCTGTTCTATTCTGTAAGCTCTTAGGCACATTGCAAAGTAGGTGACTGGCTCTGGCAGGAGGGAACGAAAGCTGGATGGGAAAGATGATTGATTCCAAAGAGGAAACCACACTATAAAATAGGAACAGCATTAGGGAGAGGTGGTTAACTACAGGTAGTTAGACTACAGGATGTTAATAACTTATACTTACAGGCATAATTTGACATAAGTCATCAATGGCAACACTGCAGATGCCTACTGGTGTATTTTGATCGCTAGGTACGATGGGAGGACTCAATAACTTCTTGTAACAGCAGGGAGGGAAACGAATATCCAAGGTGATGCTGTTATAAACAGCTAGTCCCATAAGCTATGCATACTAAATGTTAAGTATTAACATAAAATCCATGCCAACAAATGAGTTTTGAATTATGCATCAGTCTACTTCTTACATTCTTCTTCCAGATTTAAAACTGACTTTCTAATTAGTACAACATATTTCCTTTCTTCTTTCTTTAATCTTTCTTTATTTATATAATTCCTTGATTAACAGGTCATGTAAAAAGGTGTTCAGTTGACAGAATTTAATGATTTCCCTAGAAAAGGTTATCTAAGATTGCAATGGATGGCAACTTCAGACATGTCTGTAAATTATTTAGCATATAAAAATTTTCTAAATTTAAACAAGCATGCTGGTGCCCTTTTAAGCAGCAGTAAGATTTTTTTTCACTACAGAATATAGTACTAATTTTAGAAACTGCCACATTAGCTATTTTAAAATTAAATATAGATAGTGTGGTGGCACATGCCTTTAATCCCAGCACTCAGGAGGCAGAGGAAAGCAGTCTCTGTGAGATTGAGGCCAGTCTGATCTATATAGTGAGTTCCAGGTCAACTGGGGCTGCAGGGAGACCTTGTCTCAAAAAGACAAAAAAATTAAACACATACTTTGTTAAAGGAGGTGAAATGAGTATGCATATGGACATACATATACTACTGATTCACTGATTAGCTAACAGGGTAAGTAGACTCTTATAGTAAAACTTGAAGGGCTTTAGTTCAGGTATTTTATTTATTTATTTATTTATTTATTTATTTATTTATTTATTTATTTATTTATTT